CTCAGAGCAGAGCTGAGCTGTGAGGAAAGGTTTCATTTTCAGCACCATTCAGGAATGTTTCTCTCCCAGATGCCGTCTTTAAACAGACTGGAGGATCTGAATTTAAACCCTCGTCTGGCTGGAAATTCACACTCGAATTTCATGCAAATGGGAGTCAGAGCTGGCAGTTTACATAACAGACACCATCACACAGTTAAACAGAGCAGCTGCTAGGAGAGAGGGCGTCTGCACACATGAGGAAACAAACACACCTGCCGCTCTGCATCTCTGCATCAATAAACAGCATCTCATCAGGAAAGCAGAACCACACAGTCACTGCTGCACATCTTCAACCTTGGAAAATTGGTTAAAAATTGTTTCTGCAGAATCTAAACTTTTAGATTTGACAAACAGCTGAGCTGGAAGTTATCGGAGAAAAAAGGTTCTACCTCTGGGTCCTGTTGGGACCTTAGAGTGAAAAGCCCTCGTCACACCGGTTGGTCCCACTTTTTAATCTCTGATCCATATATTTTTTTTTTTTACATTTTAATATGTTTAGTCCTGTGAGTTTGGTATCAAACTTAGTGCCGCCCTCTCAGGATTAAAAGGATGTTTGACTTGGAAGGAAAGCGCACTTTTGCTCAGTTCTTCTGGACACTTCCTTTCCTCTCCAGGAGTCTTTATTCTGTCGCCTCCATCAGAGAAACCTGTAGATGGAGCGCTGATCTATTCCAGCAGCATGGAGGTCCATCATCCTGCAGATGTTCCCAGACAGACTCTAAGCACAAACCAAAGCCTGTGTTCTCCTGCTGGAGTCTCTTTTTTTCTGATTCTGATCAGAAATCTAGCTGAATGTAATATTCCTCCATAACCCTGACCCCCCCCAGGGTGCAGACCAGGAAGCACAGTCTCAGTTTAACAGACCTCTCTGCAGCTTCTCTACTGTTACCCACTCATTACTCCATCCAGACAATGTCTTGCCCATGAGCAAAATCTAATAAATTAGCAAAGATTCCCAAAGGAGTAAATCATGATAATATAATGAACTTCAATTTAGAAAAGAAAGTTAAAATAATTACATTAGGTCTTTTTAACATAATAAAAGTTGTTTCATTAATGACTTGATCCATTAGAACAGGCATCCCCAAACTCGGCCCTCGAGGGCCGCTGTCCTGCAGGTTTTAGAGGTTTCCCTGCTTTAGCACAGCTGATTATGATGATTGCAGTAGAGCTTAAGCCTGTTAATCAGCTTTCAATTAAAATCAGCTGTGCTGGAACAAGGAAACCTCTAAAACCTGCAGGACAGCGGGCTTCGTGGACAGAGTTTGGGGATGCCTGCATTAGAATCACATTGATCTCTTACAGAAACCTGGCTTTAACAAGACGATTATGTTGGCATAACTCTAATAAAATTCCCAAATACTTTATTTATTTCCAAAGGGAAAATCAGTGTTGCAGTAACAGGCAGGCAGTTTTTTATCCAGTTGTTTTAGGTGTTGATGCTGTAGGTGGGAAGGATCTTCTGTAGAGGTCTGTCTTACACCAGATCTGAATCAGCCTCTGACTGAAGACACTCTGTTAATGTTTTAAAATGTTCTGAAGAGGATGATCACTGTTGCCCATAAAAATCTTAAAATGAAGAATCCATCCATTTTCTGTGACGATCTCGGCACTGGCTTAATCCCCAACTCCACACACCTGCTGACTCCACACACCTGCTGACTCCACACACCTGCCGACTCCACACACCTGCTCACTTCACACACCTGCTGACTCCACACACCTGCCGACTCCACACACCTGCTCACTTCACACACCTGCTGACTCCACACACCTGCTGACTTCACACACCTACTCACTTCACACACCCGCTCACTCCACACACCTGCTGACTTCACACACCTGCTCACTCCACACACCTGCTGACTCCACCCTGCCTGCTCACTCCACACACCTGCTGACTCCACACACCTGCTGACTCCACACACCTGCTCACTCCACCCTGCCTGCTCACTCCACACACCTGCTGACTCCACACACCTGCTGACTCCACACACCTGCTCACTCCACCCTGCCTGCTCACTCCACACACCTGCTGACTCCACACACCTGCTGACTCCACACGCCTGCTCACTTCACACACCTGCTGACTCCACACACCTGCTCACTCCACACACCTGCTCACTCCACACACCTGTTCACTCCACACACCTGCTCACTCCACCCTGCCTGCTCACTCCACACACCTGCTCACTCCACACACCTGCTCACTCCACACACCTGTTCACTCCACACACCTGCTGACTCCACCCTGCCTGCTCACTCCACACACCTGCTGACTCCACACACCTGCTGACTCCACACACCTGCTCACTTCACACACCTGCTGACTCCACACACCTGCTGACTCCACACACCTGCTCACTTCACACACCTGCTCACTCCACACACCTGCTGACTCCACCCTGCCTGCTCACTCCACACACCTGCTGACTCCACCCTGCCTGCTCACTCCACACACCTGCTGACTCCACCCTGCCTGCTCACTCCACACACCTGCCTGCTATCATCACTAATTGGTTACTCCTCTATATATACCTCATCTGGATCTGTTCCCAGGGCCAGATCGTCTCGTTAAGTCCCTTCCAGCATATGAATCTTTTGCCTGCCTACCTGTTGCCTGACCTGTTTTCTGCCTTTTTTCACTGAGCCTGCCTGATCCCTTATCTGTTCCTGTCTGCCTGCCCTGAATCCAAACCAGATCTGCCTCTGGACCCCCGCCTCAGTTCTGCCTTGGATCGCCTGCCTGTGAGCCTGAACCCCACTCAGTCAGTGAGTAACGAGTCTGCCGAACTCCTCTGCTTCTCTCAACCTACCAGTTAACGGACCCTGGATTGGACCTGGAACTCTCTTCTGGATTGCCCCTCTGTACCTTTGCTTGGACTTGATCACTGGACAGACTGTCTTTGGAGCTCAGCGGCTTCAGTCCTCAGCAAACCATCCGCCGCTCAACGGCCCCTTCCTCTTAAGGACTCCTGCCCTGGACCCAGCACAGAGCCAACCGCCATCTCTGAGACCCAGCAACAGGTTAGTGACCCAGCCTCACTCCCTCTCTAGTTTTCCTGTTGCTGATCACTAACCTGTTGTCTCCGCCACAGATTTCCTGACTAAGAGCCGCCTGGCCGCTCCCTGTCCCACACACTCATAAATAAAATCCGCTGCATTCCACTGACCTGTCTGAGTTGTTTCCTGGGTCCAGTTTCCTGTACGTTACATTTTCCATCATGCTTGTCCTTGCCGGGGTCATGAGGGGTGCTGGTGCCTATCTCCAGCTGTCTTTATGAAGAATCCTTCTCTGTGAAATCATCTCAAGAGGTTCCAGAGGAGTTCCCAAAACAGAGCCTGCCTTCTTTATCAGCTGGTTGAGATTCTTTCAGTCATTAGCTCTGATGGTGTTCCCCCAGCAGATCATGGAGGAAGAGATCAGATTCTCCACAGCAGACTGATAGAAGATCTGCAGCATCTGAAGGATCTAATCTCCCTCTAGAAGTCCGGTCTCCTCCGTCCCTTCTAGGACACGGCTTCACAGCTGTGACTCCAGTCCAGTACTTTGTTCAGGTGAACCCTGACATAAACCTCTAAGTTTATGATCCTCTCCCTCAGAAGAAGGTTTCCACACATAGAGGTGGAAAGTGGAACCCGCCCACAATCAAAATTTTGGGTAACTTTAGTGATTATGGGGTGAAACTATCATCCACCTGCTGAGGTGGCGAGAAGACAAAAGCACAGCAAATGAGCAAGCGTTGTGTTGTTGACCAATCACGTGGTTCAGACTTTGACTAACTTTGTCGTTTTGTGTATAAAATGAAATCTCATTTTGAACAGCTCTCATGATATTTTCATTGGATAAAGTGCAGCAGTCATCAAATGTAAACATTGTGGGAGAAAAAAACAATTGAAGGTCACATGGTGACACATCCTTACAGTGCGGTTATTCTTGTCTAAATGACAGTGGGTTTGTTGAAGCAGGTGGATGATGACATCATCAACTCCACGGCGTTAAATGATCAGCTCCCCGTCTGTCAGCCATACTAAGCAGGTGAATCGAACCTTTGGTTGTTGCAGAAACAACGGATTATTTAGTTTATTGTGTCCCTACTCTCCTGCCAAGCCTGTCCTGGGGTCCCTCCCGTCTCTAGAAAGACCAACCAGAATATGATGGTTGTAATTAAATGCTAATGTATTCCCTGCTCACTTAATGCTTCATGTTGTGTAACAACAGCTCCTGAGTAATTAAAAGATAACCTTCTATTCAAGGTCAATATTTTCCCACTTATACTCCCATGAAAATGCACACAGCCAAACAGAAACGTTGGTATCCAGACTGCATCTTTTTTTCATGGATCTATACTGCAAAGTAAATTGATGCAGCTTCACTAAACACACCGTATGGCTTCCTGCTGTAAACTGTCCTGATCAGTGATTTGTTGATTTATTTACAGTAAATACAGGAAGCAATGCAGCAGCCGGGTGTTTTTTAGGCATGTTGATGGTGTGATATATGGTTGTCGTCACCTTAAGGGGTCCGTTTCATGAAGCAGCTTTAGCAAACTCAGATTCCAATCCACAACTCTGAATAGATCTAGCTTAAAGTCAGGAACTCTGAGTGTTCGGTTTCACAGCATCAATTAGTTTAATCCTTTTTAACTTCTCCACTCAGAGTTTAGTGGTTGCACAGCAAGTATGGAAAGACATTATCATTGGAGCACTGATTTGACGAGTCATCATGACAACAGGCAACAGGAAGTGCCTATTTCACCACACTGAGATTTTAATGCAGAGAAGCAAAAAAAATTTAATAAAAAAGGGGGAATGTATAAAAGACAGAGAAACAGCTACAGCTACAAAGGAGAGAAAGTTAGAGAAGATTGTTGCTGCAGTTAATATGTAAATTTAGTGAAACTTAGTGAAAAAAAGTTGGTTATTGCAGCTGTTTGTACCTACCGACGAAACCGCTCCACTGAGGACGCCATCTCTGCTGCTCTCCACCTGAGCCTGGCACACCTGGAGGAGAAGAACACCCACGATGGATGCTGTTCCTGGACTTCAGTTCAGCTTTCAGCACCATCATCCCACAGCATCTGATGGGCAAACTGGAACAGCTGGGCTTCAATACACCCCTCTGCTATTGGCTGCTAGACTTCCTCACCAACAGACCTCAGTCAGTCCGGGTCGGACCTCTGATGTCATCAGCCCCTCCCCTCAGGGCTGCGTCCTGAGCCCCCTGCCGTTCACCCTGATGACACATGACTGCGTCCCCAGGTTCACCACTGATCACATGGTGAAGTTTGCAGACGACACCACGGTGGTGGGCCTCATCAGAGACGACAACGACCTGGACTACAGAGAGGAGGTGGAGCAGCTGGTGGAGCAGAGATAACAGCCTGATCCTGAAGGTGGAGAAGACCAAGGAGATCATGGTGGACTTCAGGAAGAAGCTGCCTAACCACGCTCCACTGCTCATCAACAGCTCAGCTGTAGAGGTGGTCAGCATCACAGACACCCTCACCTGGACTGGAAACACCACCTCACTGGTCCAAAGGGCCCAGAAGCGCTTGGACTTCCTGCCCCCCCCCCCATCCTCCCCACCTTCTCCAGCAGCACCATAGAGAGCGTTCTGAGCAGCTGTCTCACTGTGTGGTGTGGAGGCTGCAGCGCCTCAGACTGGAAGAAGGTGAGAACAGCAGAGAGGATCATGGGGGCTCCTCTTCCCTCCATTAAAGACATTTCATCCCAGCGCTGCGTGTCCCGTGACATCATCAATGACCCCTCACCCCCCCACCATGGACTGTTCTCCCTGCTGCCCTCTGGGAAGAGGCTTCCCAGCATTCAATGCAGGACCAGCAGGTTCTTCTTTCTGCAACAGGAGGAGGAAACTCTTTTTGAAACTGAAAACTCAGAGTTTCCATGTTTTCAGGTTTAAATAACTTCATTTTCAGTAAACCTGCTTCATGAAACGGAGCCTTGTTATGATAGGGTTCCCCTCAGGACATCTCTTCACATTAATAAAAGGGGTGTGGCCTCCAACAGGTCACTCAGGTAGATTGAATTAAGGTGGTGCTACCTCAGAAAGCACAGGCACTAAGGGCCACAGAACGGAGGCCTTCAGGCCCCAGGGGCCCTGCCTTTTGAAGGGTTTCCATGTGTCCCCCCAGATGCTAATGATTTAATAATGCAGGGTTGGGTCAGGGCAGTTCTCAGGTTCTTCAGGTTCTGATCCTAAATGACGGAACAGTACACAGACCCATGAGAGGACCAGTCAGAAGGCTACCGTTTATCATCTGTTGTTGTATGTCTGAGTTTTCCTTTACATTCTCTGCTGGCCTTATCCTCTAATTCCTCCTTGAGCAAGAAAACCAACATCACCAGCAAACAGCTCCACATACCTTTAGCCCCGTAGAAACACCAACCTCTCCACCTGCAGTCCTGACACCTCCAACAGGCCTCCTTCTTTTAATCCACATCATCTTCTTGTGAATCACATTTAATCATTATTCACCTGCAACAACCAGGAATAACGCAGACTCCAGATCAGTTGTTTGTCCTGCAGAAAACCAACGTCTGTAAGGAAGCAGGGTCATGGCTCAGCTTACTAACCTTCTGAGGACCAACCCTTCCTCCTTATCCGACGCCTTCCTCTTTATGGCGCCAGCATCGTCTCTGACTCTGCTCGTTCTCTATGGCCGACGGGAACACTCACTTCCTCCCACACACTTCACACTGTTTCAGATCGCTGTCTCTTTGTTCCCTCTCAGTTTGCACAGATCGCAGCTGAGAACCTGCCAACTTCAACTGTGAGTTTATTATAATTCAGCTGAGATTTTTTAATTCACACATTCTCTGTTCTGACGGCTGCAGTGTTATCAGGAAGAACAGACCATCTGTGCTCATATCAGTGGCTGCACCCCTCCCTCTCTGCTACGCTTACAGAGAACAGATGGAACTAGAGCCACGCATCCCAGCATGCATCTATTATTACACACGGCCTTCTAACACACAGTCCAACATGCCTGCATGTCACAGCCATGCTAACCTTGTGTTCTGTCATCATCAGATGATACTTCATCACGTTTCTAGCTATGCTTCATTTCCCTCCTTCACATGGGGTGGGGGGGGGTGGTACGTCAGGAAGAGGTCTGGACTGCATTGTTGCAGCTTTTGCTTCTATTGTAGATCTGCTCTTGAAACTTGGTTCTGAGGGTTTTGACCCCTTTGTCTAATTTTGACCCCTGAAAACTTTGGTCTAGAGAGGCTCAGATTCTTACCGGGTGTTTTTGCTGTAAGACCAGATCCTTATCCCTCCGCCCCCCATGCCCAATAATTGTTCTGATCTGCTAAGTTTGGATCTTAACAGTCTGCTCTATTATAATGCACCATCTCAACTTTGGTCTCATTTGTCCAGAGGATATATTTATTCCTAGTGGTTCCTAGAATTTCTAAAAGTAGAATGGGAGGCAGATCTTTTAGTTATCAGGCTCCTCTCCTGTGGAACCAACTACCAGTTTTAGTCCGTGAGGCAGACACCCTGTCTACTTTTAAGGCTAGGCTTAAAACTTTCCTTTTTGATAAAGCTTCTAGTTAGAGTGGCTCAGGTTATCCTGAGCTATCTCTATAGTTCTGCTGCTATAGGCTTAGACTGCTGGAGGACATAGGGACCCCTTTTTCATCATTCTGCTTCATTCTACCTCCACATTTATACTGCTGTAGACTTAGACTGATAATAAAAACAGAAGTGTATTTTGGATTTCCACCTCTCCCTTATCAAATCTGCCCTGGAAGGGCCCAGAACTCCACACTTCCTCTCTCCCCTCCCCACGGCCACCTGTGGACACGTTCATAACTGTAGCGCCAGTTGATAAACTTCCATTTTATAAAGGACAATGGCCTCCGGAAAGTGTTCATGGACAAATTGAACTCACTTACTAATACAAACACAACTGATACTCAAATACCAGATAGACTCACATGTGACACCTAATTAAATGAATTCAATTCCGTTTATTTATATAGCACCAATTCACAACACACGTCATCTCAAGGCATGTCACTTAACCCTCCAATGTTTCCCTCTTCTGAAATGTTTCTCTCATCTTATAATTACTTTTTGTGCTGAGGTTTTAATATCTCAAACTATATCCTGTCAAGGATAAAGTGTGAAATATGCTTTTTCCCCCCCTCTCCCTCCCCAATGTGGCTTCTATCATAGGGACCCCTTTTTCATCATTCTGCTTCATTCTATCTCTATAGTTCTGCTGTTATAGGCTTAGACTGCTGGAGGACATAGGGACCCCTTTTTCATCATTCTGCTTCATTCTATCTCTATTCTCCCACTCTGCAGAATCTGTTAGTTCAATCTCTAACGTTCTGCTCTCTCTGCTTTTTCTCATAGTAGCTTCATCTGGTCTGTTCCTGTTTGGCTGTGACTCCATCCTGGAGAGAAATATCAGCTGTGCTGCTGCCATCAACACCTTTGTTTCTAGATGTTGGAGCTTGGCCTGTTTTCCAGTGTAGTCCTGTTTCTCTGACTGTGACTAACTGGATGTGCTCTCTTCATCCTCTGACATGGGAGCTGGCTCGGAGCTCGTCTGCCTGGCTGTGTGTTTCCTGGACGGGGCCGCCTGTGGAGCTGGTTGACAGTTGCCTTTTGTATCTATGCTTCTTTTTCTATGTCTGCTTCTGTCTCCTTGAACCCCGGTGGGCCTCAGCAGATAGCCGCTCACACTGAGCCTGGTTCTGCTGGAGATTTCTTCCTGTTCACAGGGAGTTTTTCCTCTCCACTGTCGCTACAAGCATGCTTAGTGTGAGGGATTGCTGAAGAGTCAATGAGTCGATGCAATCAGCTGGTTTTCCTTAGATAGAAAACTTTTAATCAATCTGACTGGATGATCTGGTTTAGCTATAGAAATAAACTGAATAGAATTAAATTTGTTTTAGTCAAACCTGTTTTTTTGCCTTATCTCTGGTTAGATGCCAGAGATAAGGCCCCCCCCCAAGTTTTCCAGGATTTTGGAAAACCTCATTGCAGCTCTCTGTTGTTAGCCTGACATTTAAAAAATACTTTTCAACATTTCAACCTAACCAAATCACTAACTAACCAACCAATAAACGCTCAATAAAATGGTTGTAGGTTCATCAGGTGTGCAGGAGGATATGGAGCTTCTGTAGAAGGTGTTGGAGGAGGATTCACCTCAGGGAGGGGGGCGGTCCGGATGTTGAGACGCTCCCTGTGAGGCGGATTTAATTCTTCCAGGTAATATTGGAACAACGATGCTGAACATTTTCTGGATCTTCGCAGCAGAACCTTGTCCTATCCTAAGTCGGTCCCCTCCTGTTTAGTGATGCTTTCAGCCCCCCCCCCCATCGGCCCTCCTGTATGCAGAGCATTCGTTGCTCTTAGTTTAATAAGCAATAAAATCATGGCTCAGTTGTTAAACTGAAAGAATTAGGCTGTACTTTCTTTTTGCCGTGACGGGAATATTTGCATGTGATCTAACGGCTGCAGCAGATAGAAAATCCATCACAGAAGAACAAATTTCCCCAGAGATTGAAAACCAAAGAGATGTGATGTCAGTCAGATGTAAAGATTTTTCAGATATTGATTCAAAGAAGCTTTTTCAGTTTGCTGCTGACATCTGGGCTGCATGAAATCCACACTGGATGATGTGGAAGTGTCAAATGAAGGTGGCAGAAAGTAAAAATCTCTCCCAGGTGGTGCACATGTTCAAGTGAAGAGTCACAAGTATTCATTTTAAAGGATTTCAGCAGGATGAGTCAGACTTTTGAAAAATAATTATGGCTGCACCCAGGAGGCCTGTATCCCCCTGACCGCCCCCACCCCACAACCCCCCCAAAAAACCCAGTCATGTGCATCAGTGCTGCTGAGGAAAATCACTTACAGGGACATTTCCATTGGGATGAAACTAATTCCAGAGCCACTCAGATAATAACTCTGTAATTATGGAGCCCTGTGGCGGATCTGCTCCAACCAAGAGACGGACCCCCCCACTGCCGCTCAGAACGGTGACGGCCTTTAATTGAGATGCTTTATGCCCTCCTCTTTAGGTCCTAATGGCTTTTAGAGGACCGGACCAAACGTCTGCTTTCCTCTAATAAGCACCTTCAGAAGGACTTTCCAGAACCTGCGAGCCCCGGGTCACAATCAGGGACTGATTCATGGACCTGTCAGCGGTTCCTGACAGACCGGAGCGCGTCTGGGAAAGGTCTGGGACAGTCTGGGACAGTCTGGGACATTACTGGCAGAAACATTGTCTGCAGGGACTTCATCATCATCATCAAGGTCTGCATCCTGAGAAATGATGGAGAAAAAAGAGAAAACAGCCAAAAAGTCTTCAGTTAAAAACATAATTTTAAAGATTGATTAACTCATCAATCATTCTTTACTATAAAGTTTATTTTTTATATTTATATTCAGAAAGTGATGAATTTAAATGTAGTAGAGATCTAAATGAAGGCTTTGCATATTTTATTAAATTGTTATTCAGAACTTCTGAGTTTTATTTAGGTTATTTAAAGTAATAACCCTTTATTAATAACGATCCCCTCATTGCACAAACCTGACTTTGGTTGTAAATTAGTCAGTTTTTTCATCCACCTTTGTTTTCCAGAACAACGAGGATCTATTTAGGAAAGTCGGATAATCTGCAGGGAATATTTGTTTATCGAGCCTCATTCTGTTGGGTCTCTGAGTTGGGTGCTCGTTTCTAACCTTTTCTTCTCAGAGAGTTCGGCAGGATGAGCTCCCAGCTGATGCAACTTTGCTGCAATCAGGAGACATTATTTAGAGGAGCAGATATCTCAGGACAGACACCAGTTGGTCGACTTCCAAACCGTGGGAACTTATCCGCCAGCTCCTCTCAACTTGTTATTTTTGATGTGTCCTTACCTGTGTGTGTACCAGACATGGGCAATGTGGAGTCAACAAGTCATCTCCATGTCAAGTATTTAATCTACCCAGCCAACTAACCAGGTGAGTCCAATCTGCACAGGTTGATTCACCGTGAAGATTGGACTCACCTGCTTCAGTGGCTGGGTAGAAAAAATACCTGAGAAAATCAGAAATACTGAAAGAGGAGTACATTCGTCTGCTGAGTTTAGTTGATGGTCTTAATGTCAAGGTGTTTCTCAGGGGCCCATTAATGGTGGAGATGAAATGTTTTCCAGAGTTCAAACAAAGTTGCAAACAAACAGCTGTAGCATTTATAGACAACTTTAACACCTTTTGGAAGAGGAGACATCTGTTCAACAGAGATGGTTTCTCTTTAAACAGGTCAGGAGCAAAACGGCTGATATCAAACATTTTCTATTCTGTGAACCATGCACCATCAGCTTTGTTCCAAAACAAAGCTCAACCAGTGCCTAGACAAACGATAAGCCCAGTACAGCCCAAACAAGCCAAGATAAAGATGGCCAGAAAGATGACACAAAAAGAGCCTACGTCAGAACTACAGGAGGCTCCTGAACTCCACTCCACCAGGGCCTGCAATGAATTAGCTAATTTCTTTACTGAGAAAATCCTAAAGATCAGAGGATCAGTTTATACATCCATATCAAGTTCAGTACCAAATTTGTCTCCAACTGGAATTGATCTTGACCAAATGTCCCAATTCAGCCAAATAAACTATAAAAGCTTAGAGGAAATCATTCAGCAGCTAAGTTCCTCCTCCTGCTGCCTTGATGTTCTACCCACAGCTTTCTTTAAGAAAGTTTTGCCTGTCATAGCGTCTGATTAGACTCAGATAATAAACACGTCCCTTCTGTCAGGTGTTTTACCGCAGTCCCTGCTGAAAAAGAACAGTTTAGACAAACTAC